TAACATCCAGCAATCGTTGTGCTGAGCACCCCACTTCCTCAAGAGCTAGGAAGTTCAAAGTCGGTTTCCTTGCAAGGGGAGAGTGCTGAATGCCTGTAGGGTTTTTGTGGTACATAGGTGAGGGAACAGAGAATAGCAGCAGCCAGGCAGGCTGCCTTGGTCCTGACGCAGCATCAGTCCCTAAGTCGCCATCTAGCTCCAAAACTCTTGTGCTCTTTCCCCTTTCCATCCCCAAATAATCAGTTCCGTTTCTCTTCCCCAAAATAAAGGGTAAAGGGACCCCTGACCATTAGGTCCAGTCGTGGCCGACTCTGGGGTTGCGGCGCTCATCTCGCTTTATTGGCCGAGGGAGCCAGCGTACAGCTTTCCGGGTCATGTGGCCAGCATGACTAAGCCGCTTCTGGCGAACCAGAGCAGCGCACGGAAACGCCATTTACCTTCCCGCCGGAGCGGTACCTATTTATCTACTTGCACTTTTGAGGTGCTTTCGAACTGCTAGGTTGGCAGGAGCAGGGGCCGAGCAACGGGAGCTCACCCCATCGCAGGGATTCGAACCGCCGACCTTCTGATCAGCAAGTCCTAGCTCTGTGGTTTAACCCACAGCGCCACCCGCGTCCCTTTTCCCCAAAATAGGTAGGTATAATTTAAGACTGGGATGGGGACAGCGTGGATTTGATTTTAATCAAATCGATTTAAGTCACTAGTCAGTAAGACTTGATTTAAATCATTCCCCCCCCCCCCGAAAGATTCATTCTTGTTGGTATAATCTTAATATTTCCGACCAGATGAAGGTTTCATTTTTGGAATAATAAATTTTCAGAGTAGTTTTTACTGATTTGGTTATGCTATTAGAAAAACGTAGATAATATGAAATTATTGTGAGGTTTAATAAGTTAACTGTTTATATTTGGACAACTTTTCCTGCTGTACTTTTGGAAGGAGAAGAATAATCATTTCCTTAATAACAATTTAAACATTTATTTAACTAAAACAATAACAATATAGCATATGTATCCATGTTTGTTAACTGATGTGGTTAAACTTTTTTTTAAAACAACAACAAAAAAAACCTTTCGACTGAGTTTTAGCACACATGAAAAACTTAAAACAAATCCTTATTTCCTTTGGACTATAATGTAACCTAAATAGATAACTATCTTTAGAAAGCATTTCATTTTAAAAATCCAATTTAAATTTAAAAAAATCTGATTTAAATAAAAAAAATCCTGAATCTCTTTCCCCCACTTTGTTTTACTTTTTAAAAAGCATCTGCCTCCCCCCCCCCCGCATTCTATTTTCCTGCTCTGAATCACTCCCCTCCATGATCTATTATCCTCACAGAGGGAAATGATGTAAGAATGATACAGGTTCCTGTATAATTAAACTATTTGTGTGTGTGTTCTGTATTAATTACCCCTAGCAAGGCTAATACCAGGTTTAGGAGTGTAATTCATTTCAGGAAAATTGTGGGTGGGGTGGGGTGGGAAGAGGTTAATACCCCCCTTCTCCAGTATCGCTGCTTTGATCGAAATAAGAAAAGTTTTGGTTTTTCCTTTTGAAGCTCCCATCAACCCCAGCAGGCAAGGCCGGGAATTATGGGAGTTGTAGTTCAGCAACACCTGGAGGGCCCATTGTATCCCACACTTGTTAGAGCTCAGCCTGGCTCCATCACTTTTGGCCCTATATCTCTGACTAATCTCTGCCTTGCACCATTTTATCCTTTCCCTTCCTTTTGAGTGCAGGCCGCTCCACGTCTTACAACCTCCCAGTGCTGCGTTGCATGTCTCCCTTGACTGGGAGCAGGGGTGGGAAAGAGACCAACATGAGTAGCTGCCGCAAGACTGGGGCTGGTGCAAATGCGGTGGCCAAGATAAAATTCTAGTGGTGGTGGTGGTTTCTTCTTTAAACGGCATGGGAAGGGCCTTATTATCTGCAACCAGCCAAGGAATAATTCCCAGTCTACTCACGGGCAACAAAAGTCAAGTGATCCCTTGCTGGAGCAGCTTAGTGTAAGAACCACAGAACTGCACCTGACGTATTTGCTTTGTTCACCTTCCTGTGCTTTCTTTAGGGTGTGTGTGTGTGTGTGTGTGTGTGTGTGTGTGTGTCCTTCTACAGTGGGGACATTGGTTTCCGGGCAGGAGTTGATCACAGTGTGGATTTGCCAAGCATTCCTTCCTCTTAGCATGTTTCTCCCTTGTGTCCTGAGTTTGAGTGTCTACAAAGCCCATGACACCTTTGGTAAAGGCTGTTCTCTAACTGAAGCACTCGCAAGCCAGTGTTTCCCAGTTGTCAGTGTTTATACTACATTTTTTTACATTTGCCTTGAGACAGTCTTTAAACCTCTTTTGTTGACCACCAGCATTACGCTTTCATTAGCGGAGAACTTGTTCTTGGACTACAATTCCCATCATGCTGACTAGGGCTTATGGGAGTCGGAGTCCAGCAACATGTGAAGGGCAATGCCCTCCCCATCCCTCATCCGTATCTACCTAGTGTCTCCATCTCTGTCCAACCTTTCCTGTCTCTTCCTTGCTCTCTCTCACCTGTATCCTTAGCATCTCCTACATCAGGCATAGCCACACTCAGCCCTCCAGATGTTTTGGGACTACAACTCCCATCATCCCTAGCTAACAGGACCAGTGGTCAGGGATGATGGGAATTGTAGTCTCAAAACATCTGTAGGGCCGAGTGTGCCTATGCCTGTCCTAAGGTAAAGGTAAAGGTACCCCTGACCATTAGGTCCAGTCGTGGCCGACTCTGGGATTGCGGCGCTCATCTCACTTTATTGGCCGAGGGAGCCGGCGTACAGCTTCCGGGTCATGTGGCCAGCATGACTAAGCCGCTTCTGGCGAACCAGAGGAGCGCACGGAAACGCTGTTTACCTTCCCGCTGGAGTGGTACCTATTTATCCACTTGCACTTTGATGTGCTTTCGAATTGCTAGGTTGGCAGGAGCAGGGACCGAGCAACGGGAGCTCACCCCGTCGCAGGGATTCAAACCGCCGACCTTCTGATCGGCAAGTCCTAGGCTCTGTGGTTTAACCCACAGCGCCACCCCGGTGCCTGTCCTAGATTCTAGCAAATTCAGCAAATGTTATCTGGCAATAACTTCAAACCGGAGGGCTGGCTTGAAACACAATGATGGCGCGTCTTGTACAAATCCACACTGTGTGCATCAGTCTGTATTGATTTGAAACCTGCAGAGCAGAGTATCTTCTGGGGTCTGACGCAGAGGAGATGCTGAAGTCCTGTGACTGGGCCTCCTTCTTTTTTTCACTTTGAACTGATGTTGGGGAGCTTCCATTTTGATTGGAGCCACCCTTTTCACCCCTAAGTGGCTGTTAAACTTGCAGTAGAACCGGGGGAGGCATGCCCATATATTCCCCCCCCCAATCATTGGGGTTGTGCGGCTTGGGGAGAGGGAGAGGGGATAGCTCTGTTGGTTAGAGCATGCTGCTGATAACGCCATGGTTGCAGGTTCGACTCCTGCATGGGACAGCATCATATTCCTGCATTGCAGGGGGTTGGACTAGATGATCCTCAGGGTCCCTTCCAACTCTACAATTCTGTGAAATGCAGTGGGGAAGGGTTGTCATCCATCCCACCCACCCACCCACCCCTGTTTTCCTTTTCCTGTTGCTCCTCACAGCCCTTGGAGGTCAGGTCTGTTCTGCCCCTGGCAAGCCAAGCATGTGTGTTTAAGCAAATGGTGCTTTGTGGTTGAGGTTGGGGGAAGGAGGCAAATAACAATTGTTCAGGGCCCTGCTGCACAACCTGTGTTTGCAACACACACACACACACACACACATTTTGCTTACACCTTGTGTGCATTGCTAAAAATAAGCTGTGGGGAGCCGCAAAGCGTGGAGGAAGGGCAGGTTAGCACATCGCTATCTTCCCCATCTTCAAAAATGGTTGTGTATGCAAGAGAGAGAGAAATTGAGAGACAGAGAGAGAGGCAGACAGACAGCCAAAGTCTTCCATCTTGTCGCTAACCTCTGAGTCGGAGAGTTGAAAGGGTGCGTTTGCAAGAAATCCAGAAGCAGGGCATCTCCCGACTGCCCAAAAAGCACATCTATCTGCCTTGCGTGCTGAAGGCCTCAGGTTCAATCCCTGGTATCTCCAGTTAGGGCTGGGAGGGACCCATGTCTGAAACCTGCATTGCAGAGGGTTGACCACATGACCCCCCTTCCAATTCTGCAGTTCTAGGATACCGAACTTGGGCCAATGTAGTGAATAGACTAGGATTAGTTCAGCCGTAGTGCTACAGTGCTTGGCGTTATTTTGCATTCTGTTTAGGGTTTCCCAAACTTGGGCCGCCAGCTGTTTTGGGACTACAACTCCCATCATCCCTAGCTAGCAGGACCAATGGTTGGGGGTGATGGGATTTGTAATCCCAAAACAGCTGGGGGCCCAAGTTTGGGAAACCCTGGTTTAGACCTTCTGCCTGCTTCCCCTCTACTGAAGTGTGTATGTTTGGCAACCTCAGGAAATACTCTCTTGGGCACCCCTTCTTCGTCACAAGCTGGAGCCCTGCAGCATATCGAAGGCACCACCTTGGCTCTCCCTGTTCTGTCCGTCCTCCATGCTATGCAAAATTTTATAAACCTCCTTTCTCCTCGGCCTGCCCAAACTTAAAAGTTCCAGCCAGGATTGCTGCCATGGGCTTGCATCCACTTCCTGACCCACTTGGGCTGTGGGGCTGAACCCAGAGGGTCCCATGTGCAGGGTGAATGCCAGTGCAGATCCATGCCATGAGTACAGGGTTCCTAGCTCATTCGCATGCAGAAGACCCCCAGCTCAACTCCCTGGCAGTGTGGTATAGTGGGCAGAGCGTTTGGATTAGGACCAGGGAGATCCAGATTCAGGCCCCCCTTTGGCCGTCACTCTTGCTAGGTAGCCTTGGGCCTGATCCTGTCTCTCAGCCCGACCTCCCTCACAGGGTTGCTGTGAGGATTAAATGCAACAAAAGGGACATAGCTGTCAACGTTTCCCTTTTTTTTAAAGGGAAATTCCCTTATTCCGAATAGGATTCCTTGCAAGAAAAGGGAAAAGTTGACAGCTATGAAAAGGGATAGTGGTGGAAGAAGCGTGTATGCACCCTAACCACCTTGGAGGAACATGGGGTAAAAGTAATATTAATAACAACAAATAAATATCCAGTTAAGAGGGACAGATAGCAAGTGATGGGCAACAATCATAGAACTGTGGAGTTGGAAGGGATCCTCAGGATCATTTAGTCCAACCCCCTGCAATGCAGAAATCTTTTGCCCAAGATGGGGCTCGAACCCACAACCTTGAGATTAAGCTCTGCTTCAGAGTCTACCCTCCATGCCCATTGTCCATGCTGGCTGGTGCTGATGGGAGCTGGAGTCCATCAACGACCTTGGCTACCCTTGGTGTAGGCAGTCCAAGACTTGGGACCCGTGTGCATAGAGCTATTATGCTTGCAAAGCCTTTTCTTACATGCGCCTGTGAATAGCCACAGCGGTGCAGCATAGCGGCTGAGACCGAGCTGAGGAGACCTCATTTCAAATCTCACCTCTGCCGCAAGCTCACTAGAGGCAAGCCTTCGGATCTATTTGTGTACATGCGCGGCCGTTTCTAATGCGGGACGGAAAGTGGTTGTTGTTTTTTTGCAAACCAAACCTCGAATTTACATGCTAGCCAATGCAATCTTTGCCTTTGCACTATAGGCGGAGGGTTGGGAGTGCAAGAATTTATTGCGGTGCTGCGCCTCTAAGCTGAACAGCTCAGAAAGGATTTCCTAAATCGTGAGAGCCCATCAGCTCCCAAGTGGGTTTTTTCGGCATCTTCATCTTTGCAAGGCTAACCTGCCAGAGATGATTTCGAGTTGGGGCTATCCTGCCTCCCAGCAGAGTTCTGGACTTAAGCCTGTCTCTTTGGGAGAGCACGTAACTTCCCTGTGATTGCGGGAGGTAAGCGTAAGTATTTGTTGTCGTATTTCTTGAACAGCAAAGTGCAGCATACAGCTAGGGCTGTGACGTGCGGTTGGCTGATTTCACTGGTGTTATCAATGCAAAACGTGTTTATCGACCAAAGGGTTGCCCCCAATTAACCAGACGGCAGATTTTTTTTGTTCTGTTTTCCCCGCTAAAATTGTTTTACAGCGGTGCTTATTAAAAACTGCAGATGGCAGGAAACCTCTTTAAAAGGAAGCAATTTGTCCTTTCTGTGAAATCAGGGGAATATGTGGAAAATAAGCCACTGGAATCCTATAGCCACTTAACCTGGGAGTAAGTCCACTGAACTCAATGGAACTTGCTTCTGAGTAGATAAATCACAGATTGCACTGTCATTAAATACATACCACACAATCCTATGCATGTTTACTCAGAGTCCTGTTGAATTCAGCCAACTTATTCCTAGATTAAGTGTGTATTTGACTGCAGCCTTCAACTCCTACAATTAATCAATTTTAATTTGTTTTAATTGGGTTTTAACCTGTAAGCTGTTACATGGTAGAACCGGAGGGAGGGGGGATGACTCATTTTAAATATAATAAATACAGTGAATTTCTTGGACTGGAGCATGACTTTACAGGAAATTCTTATGGTTGCAGGAAGACCTGCTTTGTAAAATCCTGGTGCTCCCCCCCCCCACATCCTTTTTCTGTTTAAAAATGGGATGTTTTGAGTTTTATATCCTGGTCCCGTTTGGCAAAGTCCCAGCAAGGCTGGAATCCTTTCCCCCATCTGGCAGAAAGACAAAGTTTTTCTGCGTGTGGCTATGAGGAAAGCGACCCATTATCTTCTGCAAGAGAGACACTCTGCCCCTCCCTCGCAAGAAAATCCTTTATACAGTACAGTGGTACCTCAGGTTACATACGCTTTAGGTTACATACGCTTCAGGTTACAGACTCCGCTAACGCAGAAATAGTACCTTGGGTTAAGAACTTTGCTTCAGGATGAGAACAGAAATCGTGCAGCAGCGGCACAGCGACAGCAGGAGGCCCCATTAGCTAAAGTGGTGCTTCAGGTTAAGAACAGTTTCAGGTTAAGAACGGACCTCCGGAACATATTAAGTACATAACCTGAGGTACCACTGTACCAGCATCAACCTCTTTCCTACAGTACCATGAACTACAGAAATCTGGCCTGTTCCTTCTGTCTTAGGCTGCTTCTAGACAACCTGGCTGTGTGTGTTTTTTGCAGGGGATGCCATTCTGATTTATTTGCAGCAAGGTCAGAGTGTTACCCCACCTTTTCCAGCGCATCTTCCCATCCCTTTGCTTATTGCAAAACCAATCTTTTGGGGTATTAGGTTTACTGAGCAAGACTCCCAAACAACTATCATTGCACAGCCTAAGATTGCCGGCATGTGACTGAATCCCAGCCAGAAACAGCTCTTAAATTTCAAGAGAGCCACTAATATCTTTTTTTAAAAAACAAAAACCACAAAGCTGTTACTATGGGCAAAGCTCTTTGTTTTTATGCTAAGTTATTTTAGCCTCCTTTTTGGTTTTATGGTCCAATATGAATTGGCTTAATTTGATCTGCTTTTGTTTTTACTGTAATTTGAACTGGTTTATTTCTATTAAATGTATTTAATAACTTTTTCAATCTTATTGAGTACATATACAGTTTCATGTTCCTCTGGGCAGCAGAGCATTCTAGGGTCAGGGCCAGTTTCTTGCAAGGAAGAAATCTTCATGATTTTTTAAAGCCCGTTGCTGCACAGATAGGCAGAGAACAACCTACTTCCTTAGCATTTAAGCACCAGCATTTTTTAAAAAACCTGTTTAATTTTTGCCTGGGCATTTAACAGTTGTTTTAAAAAAACCACAAACTTAATTGAAGCATGTTGTTCTTAATCTGACTTTTTAGGATCCTTTACTAATTTGTGTGGTTTATTTTTAAATGCTCATTAGCTTTGGTTATTTTGTTGAGATTTTATTCTGTGAACTGCCCTGATTATTCTGTGAACCGCCGTGGGGTCTTATCATGAACGGTGGTATATAAATTTAATTAATAATAATAATAATCAGGACTCACCGGAACTCAGTTCCAGCACCTCTCAGGTGAGCTCCATTGCTATCATAAGAGAACAAGGGAGGTGTTCATGGTGAGTTCTGGCACCTCTTTCTCTAGAAAAATAGCACCAATAATAACAATAATGTTCTTTTAAGAAGCTGTGACCTGCCTTGCAGCACCACACGCAAAAAGAAGAATAAGCAATATATAGGCAAACAGAGCTTCCAACCCAAAGTGGCGATTGCAGCAGCACTCCTAGCGCACAATATTAAAAAATAAAGCAGAATCGCAGAGCTGCTTTCTCTTTCTTCTTGCCAAATTTATAACTCACAAACTTCCTTTCAGTTCCCCCACCTTGAAGGTAGATGGTGCTTCAGTTATCTTCCAAACTGGTGGTGGTGTTTTTTGAAAAAATATCAAAAAACAAAAGCCTCGCCTGATATGCTCTTAGTAGCCCTAAAGGAAACACCTGCTGCTCGCAGCCAAGTGCCAGGTTACACAGAGATCTAGAGATAGAGACAGTTTTGCATAACTGCACACTCTCTCTTGCTCTCTCGTACACACACCCTTTAAGATTTGAATTGCGGTGTGAGCCCTTCAGGAGATTTTGGATCAAGGAGGGTTTCGGCTGAAGACCTCCCAAACACCTCTCATTCCCCGCCTGGTCCATCTCCTTCGCCCAGAATCCTCTTGAAATAACAAGGTTGGCCCTCAGAGCCAAATTTAAACGCCTCTGTGATGAAACGATCCGACCTCATACAGAAACCTTGCGGTTTCCCCCTCAGTGTTACCCATATTACATCTGTGCCAAGTTCATCACACTTCGCTGACCTTTGGTGAAGGCCTTCAGTGGAGAAAACCCAGCCGTCTTTCTAATAGAAGGACACTGCGAGGTTAGGTAGCACGTGTGTGGTGGTCATCTGAATGAGTGGTTCAGATGAAGTCCAGAAGCGGCTTGACCCTGGTCAGCCAGTGACCCTCACGCCTGAGTGGAGATTTGAATCCGGGCCTCTCCAGTCCTTGGTCCAATACTGTAAGCCAGAGCTGGCCCCAAATATCTGAAAGACCAACTCCCAATACAGAGCCCCCTAAGGTGTTAAGATTGACGGAGGGGTCTCCTTTGGTTGTCCCACCACCCTCAGAAACTCGGGGTGGCAGCAGCAGCCTGGGAGAGGGCCTTCTCTGTGGCACACCTCCCAAAAGAGGTGTGCCTGGCTTCTCCACTGCACAACTTTTCAACAAATGATGAAGACACACCTCTTTAACCTGGCTTTAGATAAATATTTAGGACCCACCTTATTTCTGTGATTGTAAATTGTTTTGAACTCTTTTAAGATTGTGTTTTACTGGTTGTAACCTGCCCTGGGACCTTAGGGTGAAGAGCCGGTAATAATAATAATAATAATAATAATAATAATAATAATAATAATAGACCCTCCACATGCTCGAAACAAAAAAAATAATTATTTCCAGTAGCACCTTAGAGACCAACTAAGTTTGTTATTGGTATGAGCGTTCGTGTGCATGCACACTTCTTCAGATACCTTCTTCAGATGCATGCACACAAAAGCTCATACCAATAACAAACTTAGTTGGTCTCTAAGGTGCTACTGGAAGGAATTTGTTTGTTTGTTTCGACTACGGCAGACCAACACGGCTACCTACCAGTAACTAGAGCTATGGAAGTCCCCACATGCTGTTGGACTCCCATCAGCCCCAGCCAGCATGGCCACCCATTAGGGACATGGGAGTTTAGTCCAACAACGTTTGGAGGGTCACGGGATTGTTGGCATTTGAAGAGTGCTTTCCATTTTCTGCCTCTTCTGTTTTGCCCTTGCAGCTACTCTCTTGCAGCCCAGACTTTGCTAACCGTACTCAACTCTTCTCTTTTTATAAACCCCCTACAGATCATTACACTCGGACGGACATCTCTTCCCGCCCACTGCACAAGGAAGGGAGTGTGCAGAACTCTCGCCCCCCTCTCTCCCAACCCTTGTACCAGTGCCAAATGTGTTCCCCCACTGGTACAGAGGATGGAAGGGAGGGTGGTGCACAGACACAGTCCTCTTTGGAGTCTTCCCTCCCCAACTCTGATGACAGCTCTAAGCCAGCATCTTCCAGCACCATCTTCCCTTCAACCAGCTCTGAAAGCCAGGCGGCCTCATCTTCTCCCTGCCTTCACTCATAACCACTGGCTCTGCTGATGGCGTTCCCAACGTGTCATCCTCAGACATCTTTAGAGCCCATCAAGGCCTCCTGCCCTTCTCTTGGACAGTTGCCTATTTTGGTTTTTGGTTTTGCCTTCTGGATTTTTGTGGGGGAAAGGGGTATAGGAGCCTTGACTAATTTATATTTGCATTGGCACTTTTTCTTCTGTGAAATTTTGTGGTACCCATGACAGGTAATGCGATTTCCAAATGTGACCCCCTCCCCACTCCAGGCACAAAATGATGATGGTGATGATGATGATGATGATGATAATAGGGACCTCTGCCTGCTAAGCCCAACCTTAGCCAAAGGAAAGCATCTCTTCCTAGTTTCACACAAATTCTTCTTCAGAGGGCCTTCTCGGTAGTGGCGCCTGCCCTGTGGAACGCCCGCCCTTCAGATGTGAAGGAAATAAGTAGCTATCTTATCTTTAAAAGACATCTGAAGGCAGCCCTGTTTAGGGAAGTTTTTAATATTTAATGCTGTATTGTTTTTAACACTCAATTGGAAGCCGCCCAGAGTGGCTGGGGAAACTCAGCCAGATGGGCGGGTATAAATAAATTATTATTATTATTGGCTGGCCAAATTAAAAATTGTTCTCGACATGATCGGAAGGATTGTCATTTTTTTGCAGACTGATTTTGGGAGGGAGAACTGGAGCTGCGCTGGGGACTCTAGCAGTACATGAAGCACAATCACAGACCACATCTGGATCTCGCCATTTAAAGCGCTATGGTGCCACTTTTAGCCGTTATGGCTTCCCCCAAGGAATCCTGGGAACTATAGATTGTTAAGCATGCTGAGAGCTATAAGAAGACTACTTTTTCTCTCAGAGAGCTACCATTTCTAGAGTGGCATAGCCATCAATCCCTCTTCCCGGGGAATGCTAGTAATAGTAGCTCTTTGAGGGGAATAGTGCGGCCTAGCAGCTCTCAGCAGCCTTAACAGATGACTGCTCCCAGAATCCTTTGGGGGGCAGCCATGATCGTTAAAAGAGGTATAACAGTGCGGATGCGACTGGGGTTAGAGAGAGGGCAGTGAGTAACTAGGAATGGGGCGACTGGAGAAGGTGTTTGTGACAGCCTGTTTTGTTAGTGGCTGCAAGTGTGCGGCAGGGTGGGAGAAGCGCGCTCTCTCTATGGGGGAAGCTGGAGGGGAAATGCAGCCAGGCATAAAACCAGGAGTGTGGGATGGGGAAATGGGGACTGCAAGACGGCAAGGTAGAAGAGTCGTCCAAGACATTTCGCCGCCTGAGGCGGAAAAACCAAACGGCGCCAACTACAAAGTCAAGGTGCCTAGTACTCAAGGCCAGCCAAGTCATTTTGGCGGCTGAGGCAGAAGACGTCACGCACGCCTCTCTGGCAGTAAAAAAAAAATCAACAATAAAATTAAATAAACAGAACAATTTCCTGCCCTTTCATGACATCCAAGTCAGCTTCTTGAGGAGAACCAGTGCTTTTTACCCAAAAAATTAAAAAAATTAGGGGTACTCTCATTTTGACTCAAATCAGGAAAAATAAATACAGCAAATGGACAAAAGTACAAAAATTTTAGTGGTATGCGTACCCTTGTGTCCCCCCAGAAATAAAGCACTGAGGAGAACAGATGTAAAGGAGTGTGTGTGTGTGTGTGTGTGTGTGTGTGCAGGGAAAGAAAGAGGTTTTATTATGCAAACTCTGGATTAAGTGGGTTGGGGATACGCTTTTCTCTCTCTCGTTATTCTTAGGGCTCAAGGTTGCCCAGCTTGGCTTGGCCACGGATTCAGGACTACTTCACCACACAGAAAGACTTCTTCGCAAAATGCATCATTTTGGGTAGGGGTAGCTTATGCCGGATTGCACATCTCCCACAATCCATTGCCATTGGCCCTTCTTGTTGGGGCTGATGAGAGTTGAAGTCCAGCCAACACCTCGGAGGCCACAGCTTCCTCATCCCTGATTGGTGGAATTCAAGAAGCGGCGATGGCCACTGGCCTATGTGGCTTTAAAGGTGGTTTGGCAAATTCATGTAGGAAAAGGCTACTGGCAGCTCTTGGCCATGATGGTTAAATGCAGCCTCCATGTTTATAGAGGCAGTGTGGAGCTGAATCCCAGGGCATCAGGCCAGAGGAGTATTTATAATTTTATTTTTTCGAACAGATTTTAGCCATCCTCTCCTGGTATGCCCCACAGAGAAACCTACGGTCTGCAAATAAAAACATCCTGAAGGTCCCAGGCCTCAGAGAGGTTAGGCTGGCCTCAACTAGAGCCAGGGCCTTCTCGGCTGCGGCTCCAATCTGGTAGAACGCTCTGTCACAAGAGACTAGGGCCCTGCGGGACCTGACATCTTTCCGCAGGGCCTGCAAGACAGAGTTGTTCCACCAGGCCTTTGGTCAGGGCGCAGCCTGACTCCCTCCTCTGGCAACCTGCACAGAATTTGGCTTAATGGTTGCCATCAACTTGATTTTAATTAATTTTTATAATGAAATATTTTTAGAATGTTGGATTATTTGATTGTTTGATTATTTGATTGTTGTTAGCCGCCCTGAGCCCAGCTTCGGCTGGGGAGGGCGGGATATAAATAATTTATTATTATTATTATTATTATTATTATTATTATTATTATTATTATTATCCTCCCATCTACACCAGCAGTGGGGAACCTGTGGCCTTCCAGGTGTTGTTGGACTTCCAACTTGCCTCAGCCTCAGCCAACCATCGCCAGTCTTAAGGAATGATGGGAGTTGTTGCCTAGCAACCTCTGGGGGGGTCACATGGTCCCCTCCCCTGCTCTGTGAAAAACAAGTGGAGCAGACTGAAGAACAGCTTTAATATGAAAATGCCTGGTTAATTAAATAAGATCTGACCCGGCTCTGAAATGATTGTAGCGTTGGCGCCAGTCGTACTCTTGGCGGATCATTCTGCAAATGCTGGCAGGGCGGTCACTCTCAAAAAGCAGAATAATTTGCAGGATTTGCCAGTCCCTTTGGCATGATCCTGTGCTTTGGGGGAAGTTTCCATCCTACCAGGACTAGTCCCAACTGTGGGATAAAAACTGCCACTGGGTTCCAATGTTCTCTGCATTTTGGCTCAAAGCATTGCAGTCCCCCCACGTCCCTATGCATCTCTGAGGCCTGTTTACCTTTCCTTTCCATGCTGACAAGCCCCTATGAAATCTTCCTAGCAGCCTCCATTTCCACTGCTCTAAATAGCAGCCTTGCTCCAAGCACATTGTGACTGCTCTAACTTAGGCTCCATTGATTCTTCTTGTTTTTTTAGTCACAGTCATCCAATGGGGATGGGGGAGGAATTGGGTTCGGTGCGCATTTAAAGGAAAAAGCCACAGATTCATACTTGCTGAAACAAAAACGTGAACCAAAATATAGTTCGCCTTCAAAATTCAGAGTTTGCTTTTCAATAAATGCATAGAAAAATGATGTGTGTGTTTGTGTCCGTGTGAAAATGAGATACAAAAAATGCATTATATTAGGGAAACTGCTTTGCAAAACTGTTATGTTAGGCAGAAGTGCATACAGAAATGTGGATATTGGAGAAATTCACAACAGGAGGATTTAAAAAATAATAATTAAAAATGCAAAGTGATGTGGAAGTGGGGAGGACTTGGAACTTAAAGACTGGAAAAAATGAGAAACACACAGCAATAGAAATTGTCAGCACGTTTAGCATCACTGGGTGACATAAAAGTTAGGGCCCCTGTGGTCTAGGAAAACTTAACTTTGGTGGGTAACTACTCAAATTAGTCTGTAGAGAGGCTATATTAACCATCAAGAATATGCTTGAAATGATACCACAAAGTCTTTTTTGTGTGGGGATGGTAAAACTACAGACTTGTATCCAGTTATTGTCATTAAAAGTTTTATTATTTTGGAAAATAACATTTTTATTAATTAAAACCTTTGGTGGGGGAAATGGCACAGTTGGTGGCATAGTGGTGCGTTTTTGAATTTCGGGACCTCATCCTGACAGCTCCCAGTGCTAGGCAGGCACCCCAAATCCGAAAATCCAGGTAGCTGTGTTGATTACCCACATCTGGCAGAGAAGTGCCATCTCGATGTTGAACTCCAAGTGCCTTCAGTGCAGCACCAGAAGGGCACCATATTGGCGGCCCTCCGTACATAGCACAACAACCACTGTGATTAATACCTGCAGGGCTGCAGTCCTACACGGTTTCCTGGGTGTAAGCCGCACAGCTCACTGATGCTAGCAACGTCTGACTACGAAGATTTGGCTTATTGCAAGACACATTGAACTTTACAGGAAGATATTCAGCCAGCTGAAATTCAACATTTAGTATTTAATCCAGGATCGGGGAGCCAGTTACCCTCCCGTTGTTGCTGGACTGCCACTCATTAGCCACTTCATTGGCCATGCCGGCTCCGGCTGATGAGTTTAAGCCCAGCAGTTTGAGGCCCCCCCCCCCCATTTAATTAGAAATACTAACAATCTTGCAAAGGAGCTGCGGGTGGCGCTGTGGTCTAAACCACTAAGACTCTTGGGCTTGCCAGTCAGAAGGCCGGCGGTTCGAATCCCTGCAATGGGATGAGCTCCCGTTGCTCTGTCCTAGCTCCTGCCAACCTAGCAGTTTGAAAGCACGCCGGTGCAAGTAGATAAACAGGTACTGCTGTGGCGGGAAGGTAAACAGCGTTTCCGTGCACTCTGGTTTCTGTCACGGTGTTCTGTTGCGCCAGAAGCGGTTTAGTCATACTGGCCACATGACCCAGAAAGCTGTCTGTGGACAAACGCTGGCTCCCTTGGCCTGATAGCAAGATGAGCACTGCAACCCATAGTTGCCTTTGACTGGACTTAACCGTCCAGTGGTCCTTTACCTTTATCGAAGAGCCGATCAGAAGATCAGTGGTTTGAATCCCTGTGACGGGGTGAGCTCCCATTGTTCGGTCCCTGCTCCTGCCAACCTAGCAGTTCGAAAGCACGTCAAGGTGCAAGTAGATAAATAGGTACCACTCTGGTGGGAAGGTAAACGGTGTTTACGTGCGCCGCTCTGGTTTGCCAGAAGTGGTTTAGTCATGCTGGCCACATGACCCGGAAGCTGACTGCGGACAAACGCCGGCTCCCTCAGCCAGTAAAGCGAGATGAGCGCCACAACCCCAGAGTCGTTCGTGACTGGACTTAACTGTCAGGGGTGAAGGAACCCCGTTGAATAAAAGAAAAGAGTTATCCAACCTCTGTTTATCCCTGCCAGCCCAGCCCCACTTCCTGGATGCTAATCTGTCACAATCAATAATGAAACCTGAAAGTCTCA